GTTGATGTCCGATAAAATCCCAGAGCAGGGCAGAATAAGGTTTGGACTAATATGGCGTGCCGTGTTTTTTACACATCGAAATTCGGCCATATGTATTTTCCGTTGAGCAGCGTTTTTCAAATGATCTTCGAATCGAATTGAAAAAAATTCAGCTTAAAAAATGTAAAACTTTACAACTTTAAGCTACATAGTTTACACGACGTTTCAGCAATGTGCTACTTTTTCGTGTTGCGAGTGCATTTAAAAAGTACTATGACGATCTGATGTAATGTTATGGTCGATCAGCGTTGTGAAGTACAAACTACAAGCAGTAGCAAAAATCAATATTTTTAGGATCGATCTACAATCTGTTAACATAGGCAGATTGTTCGCTCCGAGTCTTACGTGAAGCTTTGATATATACTACAAAAGATAGGCAACATTAGACTAGAGTATAGTAAGAGTTATGCATCTGAGAGATGGGTAACCACATCATAGCCTTGGTTCCCAATGTTGTACTTTAAACGTCGGACCTGTTTTAGCTTATCGATGCACTCTTTCAATAAGTCGGAGGAATCAGGATGTTTTCAACGATAAGGTTTCCGCTGAGAAAGTACAATGGTCCATAATCCGGCGTTCTTCGATGTCTGTAAAAAAAAAATGCTTTTTCCTAGAACTAAGAGAGCGATTAAATTACGTAGCAATGCTAAAGAATGTATTCACACGGATAACTGAAAAAAAACTGGACTGTGAAATAGCGGTATTTTCAGATAAACGCATTCCTTCAAATGATAGGCAGTATATGAATACTACAAAACCTGATGCTATGATACGAATCACCCTATTCTGCATTTAACAGTTGTAGTATTCCTGTCCATGATTCCGTAGCACGCATTTAACATGTTTCAACTAGCAATCCGAAACGCGACAAGTATTTGTTTTTATTATCACGCTATAGATAAAAATCTTATAATGCAACTGCCATTCCCAAGCGACGACCGAAGATGATGCTCTTGTGTACGCAGCTGAGTTGATAAAGGGCGGTCGCTGATAGCCAACAAAAATTGAAGCATTGCACAAGCAGCGCCTGAAGTCTCTTGATTTCTCCCAAGCGTCCTACGCTAACCGTTGCGAACACTGTAATCGTTTATTTAAAGGTTAAATGGGTGCTTTACCAACGCGGTGAAGGAAATGAGGTGTCTGTTATTCTCGACGTGCATTACACATCAACTTCAGCTCTTCAAACGGGCTTAGATTTACACTAAGACACACTTGATAAAGGAATCCTGTATTTCCGAGAGAGGTCGACATCGCACTTATTATCTCCATAGGCATATTTACCTAATAAATAACCACTGGGAAATATTATGCTGAGAACTAAATATCAGTACATGTTCAATCGCCATATAAACAGCGAATCACAAATTGACGAATATAATTCACAGTATATTGGTGTGCTGTCATGAGCATAGGAGCCTAGATGCTATAGTTCCATGTGATAAAAAGAAAAAAAAGTGTTAGCGTTTTTAATGGCCCAATCATACGAATTTCTACAAACTGAACGTATCAAATGATAATGTTATGAATTATGCTGCAAAACAAGGAACTATCAAGCTCTAATGTGAGGATAATAGTTAAAAGAAATATATCGTCACCAAATATACAATGGCATGTTAGAAAGCAGTCCTTACTCACACACTCACTCACATTGTGTTGTAACTATGCTATTCATAGAACCAATCGATTGCATTATAATTAAGCATCATTGCAATTTTACTTATCTTCAGGTAAGATAAGTAAGGGAAGTACGCCGTTTTCAATTAAGGCTATTTACTTCTTATTAGCTTCCATTGAGAAGTGACCATACGACTTCGGTGATTTAAGTACGTAAATCATCAATCTATTCACGGATTTATTTAAAGCTCATCTTTTTTAATGTAAATTTGCTGCACAATTCTTCGAGAAGAGAAAAACACTTAGATAATCTATAGATCTGTATTCAAAAAGAAATTACGGATAGACACGGCTTTTTTTCTGTAAATCGCAAAAGATGCCATAATTAAATTAAGCCATAATCTTCAAGGAATCTATGGTCCCGATTTTACTTAAGCAGGCATCGTAAAATCAAAATAACCAATATAGAAATGGCATCGACTTGTCAACTATACATTGACCATACGGGAAGCAGCATAGACAACTACAATCTAGTTTAACTGATATTGGTTAATTAGTTAAGATGCAAGTAAGTATGTAGTAGAGTTGTGACACTCCATGCAGAAATCTAGATCTCGGATTATTTTTGTACGTCTGGTTTATTCAGCCATGTAGTGAGGTGCCCTAATTTCGTCTGGTCTACAATGGCGTACAAAGATGGCTGCTGCCTACAACAGCTCCACTTCAAGTTTTTATTTTTTGTTTAAACTTCGCAGTACCTTTTATCCCACCTGGAATCCTATCAACATAGACTAGGTTTACGAATTATGCCGAGAAAAATCTTAGATTTAGGGCAGGACAAAGAGAAGACAAAAAAAAAGTTGGTTTTAAATTTTAACAGTGGCGGTGAGCGAACTTCGTAAAGTTCACGCTAGGCATATATTTGCATATAAAGTACCTTGCACTGGCTTTTACGATTCTTATTAGTACTAGAGACTGGGTGTCGATGAAAACATCTGTTTCATCTTGGCTGTCATCGAAGAGAGCACTGTCGTTTGATACTTATGCTTACAAGAAAAAGCTAAGCTCAGCGAAGCTTAACTCTGCCTAACTTTGTTTTTGATTCCATTATTTGCCTTTAAAAACTCTTCTACCAAAAAAGCGCTAAGAAAAACTACATTAGCTTTTGTGTAAAGTGATTGGAGCATTCTTATCCCCCAATCAACAGTCCTCGAAGTTTTCTGGAGCTAAAAGTTTGTTTATTTTATTTATGGAAAATTCCGCAAGCCGATGACGGTGTCTTGGAAGAGTATGCTTCCTTGTTCGAACTGCACAAGACGCATAAAAATTCATTTTAAATTAGCTAAAATAACCCGTTGGGACAGCTTTAAATTCCTATGCACTCAAAAAAATTTTACTAGGAGTTGCTGATCAGTTGCTTTTCCTCTTTGTCTAATAAAGCGAATGCGATACATAATGCTGCCGAAAGTCCGGACGCAGGAGTTTGTAGTGCTGACTCGAAATGCTATGGACGTTTGAAGCGAACCACCGATATTTGCCAAATCATTATCTAGTTGAGGTGGATCCCGTCGTCACTCGTACTAAAGCGGTGCCACGTAAGGACAAACTTTTGTCCGGATAGCGACCACCATCTGGCTTAACACTACGGCTAGCAATTACCCAACAGCTTGTTCAAGTGGTAGTCTACAGAAAACCGAGAAAACTTAGCGTTTACTTTTGCCTATGATGAAATCATAGCAGCACATAGTATGCAATTACATACGATATGTCATAAACGATGCAATACTGTGATTAATGAGATTTTGGTGAATGATTTCACCCGCTTCATATGTACTTTTGTTTAGCATATGAAGAGCATTCTGTTATACTACGAGCACATACTGAGTTTACTGTAACGTCGCTAATTTGGAACCGCTGGGTCTTTGCCTTAAATCTTGCAGGGTTCACATAAATTAGGCTAGAAGAATTTTCAGTGAAGTTAATTATCAATATTCTTTTAAATGATCGTCAGATAGTGAATATTTATCATTATTATTATGAGAGAATGGATATAAATGGTACGTAATGAGACGAAATAGAAAGGGGCTGACAGCGAATAGAGTCAATGTTAAGTTTATTCCAAGCTGTGAATCTTTTACAATTGAATAAGTGCCTAAAAAGGACTTCGTCTCCAAACCGAATACTATTAACACAAAATTTATCACTAACAGTCAATTCTACCTTTTGCTAAATTTTTTAAAAACTCACATGTTTAAACGTTGTCACACCGCCATCAAACCATCGAAGAACTGCGTTTAATTATAAAAACAATGACTTTTTTTAAGAATCCATTATGTTGCAATTATGTGCACCGTTGGGATAGATATACGAGAAATGTCGGTAGGTTTAGCACTAATTTGGTTTTCAACAAACGTTCTTCATTTCGGATCAACTGATTTTGTAAGGGCGACATATAAATTAAGGAAGTATAATTAGTTACAAGGTACAAGTTACAAGACAGACACAAATTAGAACAATAGTTGGGAAAACTCCACGTACTATGTTTACCGTATTAGGCTACGCGTCAGGAAGTTTTAACTCTGGAAGGTTGAAACAAAAACATAAAATTGAAACATGAAGCGGCCCACTCAGTCATTACGTTCGCTACAGCCGAGGCTTACATATGATTAAAAAATTAAGCATCGACATTTTCAGTAAATGATCATTCAGGACAATCGTTTATTGCTATGGCATATAACATAGCAAGTTAAACTTTTTTTAGTTTGCCCTTTGTACAAAGTACGCGACATTAATACATTTTCTGTGTTCCGACTCAGAAACATAACAAATATCGAGCTTGAGTCATAACTTACGCAACAAAGTAGAACCGCGGGTATTTATCAGTTCTCGAAAATCCTTCATTTCTCTTTTGGAAATAACATGTAGGACACATACAGAGGCTTTCTAGATACTATACAGACTATGCAGACATACGTTCATACTAATATCTCTTCAGTCGGAAACCCTATCTCATGCATGCTCCAGATACCCCGTTAATATCCTCTCTCCGTACGAGCGCGTTTACTAACTCAGTCAGCCTCAACCGTTGTTTGGGCCATCCAGCCAAGATTACTATTATGTTACTGGCACACTAGGAGTCGAATTGTCAGCGACCAACTGATTTGATGATGCTTTGCGCGCTACTTGTTTCGAAATACTGCCGCGTTTGGACAAGATCCCGGCAACTTTTCGAATCAGCCACATCACCGGCAGAGCTACTTTGCCGGGCTGAACACGACGACGGCCCGGATCAGTTAGCAGGCGGGCCACTTTGGCAGTGTAATGGTAGCATTGCAGCAACGGTGCCAGCAATAGCGGCAGGCGAAGAACAGTTTTGTGGTAGTCTTGGCAGAGCGGCAGTATTTTGTCTGCCAACCCAGAAGTGAAAAAGACACGACAGACCTTTGCTCATTCCTGCTCAAGTGTTCGTAGGCCGTTCCTATTCATTCGCGTATAGGCATGTACTAGCCGTGAAGACTGGGGCCACTATCATCGCATCGAACGAATTGGTTCGTTTGTGTATGATTATACGACAATACCAGACAGCAAAGGAGGAGCTCGACACACCTGGAAGGTTTCACTGTTCGGGCTGAACGGGACGGCGAAGGCAACATCTGTGAAATTTTCTTTTAGACTTTAATTACTCTGGTAGCAGAAACGAATTAAGGTTGTTTTGTTTGCTTTCGATCCGGCACAGTTCTCGATACAAAACGAATGCGAGTGGATCTAGTGGTTTGCTACCAATTTGCTGATTAGTGGCGGCGCATTTGGAGATCAAACACCAGACACGAGGTTGTAGGAAGCAAGCACATGTTGAGTCGAGGAGGAGTTGAGAAATATACATCGGTGCAAGTGGTCGACACATTTTGCATTGCTGCTGCACGATAACGCGTGTCGATCGACGTTAGCTGCTGCTGACCGGCAAACGGAGGTCCAATAACGAGTTGCTTAAAAATCCAGAAAAAGAGCACGATTAAAATAAACGGAAGTAAGCGAAAATTAGTTTTTCTTTGGTGACTGTGATTTACGAGCGTTTCTGTAACGGTTATTCCCGGACGTTCGACGTGCGGAGAAGTCGAAGAGGGCATCATGGCCAATACCGCTGCTCCTGCGTCCTCCCCAGAACTCCTCCACGGCACGATCAAGAAGGTAAGCACACATGTGTGAGTGATGGATGGTATTTGATACTATACTATCTATCACATGGAGTATGGGTTTACATCAAAATACTGCCGTTTGCTCTCTATTAAACGGATAAAATGCACGCTGTGTACGGTCATGAGGGTCAACCACTGTATTATCTTTGTTGCGTACGTGTGACGGGGCAGTTTTACATCGTTGTATTACATTGTCACAAATTACAGCATCAGTGGGAGCAAAAAAGATACCTTTGCAGAAAAACCTATGCGAAAATTACTCTGCCTCACAGGAATGGTGATACGGAGCACAAATATTGGTAGAATTGATTTTAATGGCATTGTCATCACATGAAAATTAATCACGAGAAATTGTACGGTGCTATTAGCGCCTGCTTGGGCTTAACTAAACCTTTGATGCTCTAACCATCAAGCTGGGCAAAATGGGTATTGTGATTTAAACCTCTATACCCTACTTAGAGGCTACTCAAGTTGTCCCCTATAAAGAATAGCAACGTCATTGAGGTTAAGTAACTTGAGAACACGTGTGTTAGGTAAAGCCTAATTATCCTCTTCCTTCTTTTCTTTCGTAATGGCGCAGACGTAGCCAGTTTGTCTTCTAACCAGCATGTCCAGCTTCGAATATAGAAATGAACACATTTCGACCTTTCAGTAAAAGTCCGGGTTATAAGAAAATGAGTGCAGTCATAATACCCCACTACTCGGTATTGTCGGTTTACTCGTTTTCAGCCCCCTATAAGCTGGCAAACCTTATAAAAAAACCTAAACGGTAATGACGAGGCTAATCATAAAAGCGACAGCTGAGTGTTAGCGACAATATACATTTTCTGGCAGAATAACTTCTGGTTGGTATGACATACAGTAGAGGCGCTATCATCGAAGATGTCGCCACCATACCGGTGGCTTCGTGGGTACGTGGCTATATGTTCCCTTTTAAGAAAAGACTTTGACTTTTGGTAAAGGGCGTGTGATGTTGAGTAAACCATAATAACAGCTCTTTGTTGAACTTTGAAAGTTGATCTCTAGTAACGCATGGCAAAGTCTTCGTATGGATAATCGTTATGGCAATAGCACAGTACGTCGGAACGCAATAATTTTATAAGATGGTTAATATACGCCTTCTAAAATTACATGCTCTAATTATATAACGTGTCCACAGAGATGTCAGAACCCTATTCATAATTACTTTTCATTTTTTTACAATAATCAAACGACAAATACAATTAAATAGGGAAAGCATTCTCATTTCGTAATAAGCTTGAGTAGACTGTTAACATCTCAGACGAATTTTATGTGTCCTGTCTTGAAGCTTACTTGCATATAAAATAACACTCGCAAAGTCTACATAACATTATAAGAAAATTAGAAACATCAGCATCTGACCTCATATTTAGATTGTGCTATGAGCATCCCAGGTTATTGAGTGGTACTGAATGGCAAGTGTTTGCGCAGTACGAATCTTTGAAATTTTATGAACGCTAAACCTTTAATAGCAGTATTTAGCGTTAGTGTTAAAGTTTTTGTGTTTTAGGTGGACATTCATTCCGTTTATCAGCGATTAATTGTTTCTGAAGGAGGCTACTGAACAGTGCATTATGCAGACCAGGGTTAACTGCCAAGGTATTTGTCCGGAATTATGGGATCTTACCCATTAAATCCTAGACTACCTATGCTTGGATCTCGATTCAGGACTGATTCAAATATTATTTTAAACATTTAATATTTGTCGCGCATTCGACGTGAGTTTGTATTTTTGTGAACTGGAGGTGATATTCTATTACTGTAATGTAGATAATAATTTGCACAGGACTTCTTTGGTTATTCTCGGCTTATTTAATATCAAAATAGCCAGAGATCTGTGTTTCTAAAATGTTTCTAATCTTATATGTGCTACTGATTATGTTAAGCACTACTTTAACTATTGGCTTCCTACTCGATGTGAGGTGTCAACATACAATTTAAAACCTCGACCGCATCACCTGTTTCTAAATTTAGCAGGCGAAGACATTGCTACTAAACCATGACGGGAACGATTTGTCGTTTCGGTGTTAAATATGTGTCATGCCAACTCCTGTCAGAGCAACCTTATGGTTCAAATTTACATCCTAAAAATAATTGTCGCGAAAGCCATCAGAGCTATTCACATTTTTTTTGCTCATTTTGTGGGAGGTTGGTCGTGACTTTAAACACATTTCACGGTATTGCTCATTTTCTTTCATGATTGCTGACAATGTAAAAGCATTGTAATAGTGGCGTTCTATTTTAAATCGTGTAAAACGTGGCCTTTTTTTACATATGTCATCTCATTATTAATTTCGGAGCTTTAAGAGTAAAATTGAGAGAGGTTCTGGGGTGATGGCCAAGTTCACTGACCCCGTCGGTGCATCACCGGTATGCCATCGCATAATGAAATCCTACCTCCAGGTTCTTAATTGGAGTGTAGTTTCTGCTATTGTTGCTACTCAATCGACTCAAAATGCTTTTACAACAGACGTTGAGATCACGTTGAAGTGAAGTGCATCAGACCATCAGGTGCCCTTCCATTCAGTTGTTATACACATCTCTATGACACCTCATAAAAGCTTACAGCAAATTTTATTTTCTCGACTCTATTATTCAAATATCTATTAGTATCTGTGTTTGTGTATAAATTTACGTCAGTCGTTCGTGTCGATTCGGTGTCGTTCGGAATGGAAAACTTGTCACTGGGCGTACAAAGTTGGCGAGATTTATACTGTAAACCAAGACCGCACAAGTAAAATCCTCGTAAATACAAGTTTGCACAATCATTGGCCGAGGCAGGGTTTGTTTGCCAATAAAGCCGTTTTGATAAGACGACCGTCTTGTTCCGTCATTCTGCTGTTTACCAACAAACTTATGACGTTCTCTAATGCAGTTATTTATCATGGGTAATTCACGCAGGATAACCTTTCAATGGGCAGTTTGGTGTGTTTTGTCCCACATTGCTCAGTGCGTTCTTATATGGAGTTATTTAATTCAATGACGGTGTGTGGAAGTGACCGAGTGGGGATGAAAAATGAAAGTGAGGCTTTTCACGACGTGGACAAAATTAATTTTTGAACACGGTTTATAAAGTCTACATCTGTCATTAGACCCTAAACGCAGCAGTCACGGATAGGGTAACGTTCATCGTTCAGTATACGCAATTCAGTTATCCTAGGTTTGACCGCATTTTAAGAAAAGTATCGTCACAAAAAGGTTACCAGGACGTAAATGCAACAACTTATTCTTCATGCGGTATTGTTAGGGGATGTGTTCTGCATCATGTCAAGTTGTGAAAACTACGAGCTGTTCAATTTACATTAACTGGTATCATGTAGATTTCGATGAAAAAATGAAAAATAATTGGAAGTAAAGTAGAGGAGTTGAACCGTCACTGTTGTTGCCTCTTGAGTTTATTATTTTGAAAGGATGGAGAATCTCCTAGACACTAGTTATACATGATCTAAACAAGTAATAGACGTAACTCAATTATAACTGGTTAAATAGATGTGTGACTTGACTTTCCGCGAAAAATAACTTGTCTATTGCAACTTGGAAGTGATATCATCGTTGTTGATACCGGCTTGTCGAAATCAAGTGCCTCTTTGGAACTTTTATTGAACTGGTCTACAAGATGAAATATTAAACTCAGTTTTATTCACAAATAATGAATACGCTTTTCACTAGAACTTCGTAGGATTTCCATGTGAGTTTATAGTGAGCAGGATAAAAAAGACTATTAAACATATCTAGTTTGTATTACGCTTTCAGTCATTAAATTAATTCGTATTGCATTGCAGGTGACTTCGGCGGACACTTTTGTCTTGCAATATTTTAAAAATAAAGTGCCACATGAGAGGGTGGTCCACCTCGCGAATTTAGTCGCTCCAAAGGTATGCCTTTGGTTCCAGTAATACGTTTGATCTTAATCGAATGTTTATCGACCTTTTGCCACGGATGTTATTTAATCTGCGATCATTTCAAATACCCTAGATATGTATAGACACAGGATTTTCACTCCGTCGAAATGCCTGCTTTTTTCTTTTAGGTGGCAATCTATACTAATGATATGAATCAACATGACGAGCCCATGGGATGGGAGTGCCGTGAAGTTCTTCGTAAGGAGTTTATTAAGACAGAAGTTACCGCAGAAGTCGAACACAAAGCTGCTAAATCAGTATTCGCTTACATATTCAAGGGTCACTCTACGGAGGGAGAATCCCTTAATGAAATGGCCGTGGCTCGCGGTTTCGCCTCAGTAAAGGAGGTTCGTATCCCTTCTGTACGTGGATCGCGTATTCTAATTGGAAATACTAAACACTTATATTTACGAAACTGTTAGTCGATGCCACTTCGCACCCAGTTCGAATTTAATAAGTTGCTTTAATACCGAATGTTTTCATTAAATGAATGGGAATGGTTTCTAACAAACGTTCTCTATACATAGAGACTAGCATTAGTAATGTATGCAATTTGTATTTTTATAGTATGTCTAGTTATATCCTGTTGGATAGAACGATTCGATTCTATATTGTGAATTTTCTGTTCCTAGGTATAATCTGTATCTATGCTTTTCTGTGTATTCTAGGTAAACAAGAAAAACGAACGATATGAAAGACTTAAGGAGCTTCAGGAGCAGGCCAGAACTGCGAAGCTTGGCATGTGAGTAATATCAATCGTGTTATAAACATTGTCTTCAATAAACAAAATAGTGTTATTTCTCTCTAATGCGATCACCACTCACGCACTGAAAGATAGCGTGCCTTGTTGGTTGTGTACGTTTTTGATTGTCATTTATGATGTTCCACGTGTGCATCTGTGCAAGTCAGACGTCCGTAGTTTTTCAAGGCCAAGCGTATAAACGATTAAGGGCAGGGCATTAGGTTTGGTCAATGTATACGTATTTTTCGTACGTGAGTTGTTACTGGCTATTCATTATTTGTGTAGGGCAGCCAAACAAAGCTAATAATTCATTTAGAAAACATAGATGTTATGACAGATTAACGCGTGGCGTTTTTGAATATAATCATGGTTTTGAATTCCTTTGGTTTTTAGATGGTCTGATAACAAATCCACGAAAGTTCGCGAAATTGAATGGGCGGTTAAGGATGTTGCAGGTTTTGTCGACAGCTACAAAGGCAAACCGCTCGACGCTATCGTTGAAGGCATACACCCCAGTGCGGCCGGCATTCGTGCGTACGTTGAGCTTGGTGGAGTCTACTATTATCTGACAGTAATGCTGGCAGGAATTCGTGGCCCATCAGATGAAAGTGGAATTAGGCCTCGAGCAATCTACTTTCTCGAATGTGGTTTGCTGCACGCGTCGGGGATCCAGTTGCAACTAGATAGTGCTGGCAGTAATGGCCAATTGTTCGGTCGGGTAAAACATCCAGACTTCGATATTGTTAAGTTGGTACTCATAAATGGCTTAGCTCAGACTCAGGATTGGTCTTTGCTATCAATGGAACCTGAATACGTTGAGGAACTTCGAGCGGCAGAAAGCACTGCCAAACAGGAAAGAAAAGGAATCTGGAAAAACTACAAGGAGACAGTCAAGGCTGATAGGAGCCAGTCGACGGCCAAGGTTGTTGAAGTAATCGCTGCCGATATGCTCGTTATTAAAGATTCAAGCAACAATCTAAAAAAAATCTTCATTTCTTCGATTCGGCCGCCTAGAAAGGAGACCCAAGTGGCCTATGCACCGGGCAAGCTAACCATGGCCCAGAAGATGTTCCAGCAGCCGCTCTTATTCGAAGCTCGTGAGTTTTTGCGGAAGGCGCTTATTGGCAAAAATGTCCAAGTTCAGACGGACTTCATCCAACCAAAGAGCGACCTATACCCCGAGAAGGTATGCTGTACAGTAACCATTGGTGGAAAAAATATTGCTGAACAGTTGGTTGCTAAGGGCCTTGCCAGTGTCATCCGATATCGGCAAGATAACGACCAGCGCTCGCCTTATTACTTGGAATTGCAGAAAGCAGAAAACACGGCTCAGAAAAGCGGCGTTGGCCTTTACGCCAAAAAGGATCCGGAGCCTATGAAGGTGGTTGATTTGCAGGGCGAACCGATCAAATCAAAACAATACTTCAGTAGTCTTCAACGGAGCAATCCACTTGAAGGCATCGTCGAGTTTGTTTCATCGGGCTCTCGTTTAAGAGTGTACTGTGCCAAGCACGCGTGCATTTTCCCCTTTCTTCTTAATGGCATCCAGTGCCCGCGTGCTAGCAGACTTGACCAGAATGGTCAGTCTAGAATAGGCGGAGATCCATTTGGGGATGATGCGCTCATGTTCACGAAGGATCAGTGCCTACAGCACGAAATTAATATGGAGGTGGAAAGCCAAGACAAAAATGGCGCCATGATTGGGAAGGCAACCATTGCGGGGAAAAACCTGGCAGTTGAACTAGTTAAGGTGGGTTTGGCGACAGTCCATCATTATTCTGCCGAAAAACTTCATTATTATAAAGATCTTTGCAATGCCGAGGAGCTGGCAAAAAAAGAAAGACTTCGTTTGTGGAAAAACTACGTCGAGGAAGTAAAGGAGGAAACCGAAGAACTGATCGAAGAGGCTCGTGAAGATCAAAAGTCTGAACGCACGGTCGATTTCAAGACGGTTCACGTTTCCGAAATTACATCTGAAGTGACCAAGTTCTATGTGCAATACACCAACGATCGGGAGAAGTTCCTCGAAATGCATGACAAGCTTCAGGAAGAGCTCAAGAATACCTCGATTGCAGGTCCTTTTAAGCGAGGGGAGCGCGCTGCTGCTAAGTTTAGCGATGGCAATTGGTACCGAGTTAAGATCGAGAAGTTATCACCAAAAAAGGCCGATCTCCTATACGTGGACTACGGAAATCGAGGCGAGTGCCCGCCAAATCAATTGCAGCGTCTTCCAGCGTTCTGCGCCACTACACCAGATGTAGCTCATCTTGTAAACCTAGCGTTTGTTAAGATGCCCAAGGATGAAGAAGAGGTACTTGCTGCCCGAAAGGTGTTCGCAAAAAATGTCAAAGGCGAGGTTAAAATGAACGTTGAGTATAGCATCCAAGGGGAGGTACGTATTGAAAAAGAAACTGCTTTAAACGGTATTACGTTTTAAGTGGATATTGCCGATCTGCACGTAATGTTTGAAAGCGAGGTATCTTATTTCGAAGTCGAATTTTCTTGTTTGATTTACAAGGTAAGTGCTAGCTCCAAGATGATTGGTCTATCATCTAAAATGTCTTAGTTTTTAGTAATGATGTTTAGTAATGTACGTTGTATGATTTTCCTGGTTCCCATTTCTACTTACAGCAATACGTGACTCTTCATGTAGACGATTCAGACGTTGGACGTGAGCTAATCGCTGACGGCTACGCGTTCTTCGAGCCTCGCCGTGGTGAGCGATACGCGGAAATCTGCAAAGAATACCAAGAGGCCATGGACAAAGCTAAGAACGAACATCTTAACCTATGGGAGTACGGAGACGCTCGCGACGATGAAGATGACCGGTCTTAGATGTGTCTTCGCAAGCAAAAACCGCATCGTCAATGGGCGAAGAGTGGAAATTACCACTGGTACATCAGCTCTAAGAAGATCCAGCTGGAGCGGAAACATGGGATGGCCAGCTTTGTTCATTAACGTGACATCATTTACTGAATAGCAGGAAAAAAGTGCAAATTAAGTGGACGTACGGATATTTCCTTGCTCGTCGGTTTTCGAGTTATAATTCCATTTCCATTAACGGAGATCGTGTAGCGAAAAAAACATCAAACAAAAGAGAAACTGCCTCGGGCACCAACAACAACCAGCAAAAACTAATTTCGTCGAAGTCGGGATGATTCTGCTTCATAGTCAAGCTCCTGCACCGCAGAAAAAAATGGATTGTACGAATTCAAGTTCGCCGTTCAACGCCATTTAATTAAAAGAATTAATGCTTTACCTTTTGATTGCGCTATAATTAACACGTTGTTGAATCCAATGAAAATCGTCGTAACCCACAACAGCATTTGTTAACTCGCGTGTCAAGCACGTGTTTATGGTGCGTTCTAACTATAGTTGTAGCAGCAGTAGCAGATTAATATTGAAAATGGCAACGAATACATAAAATCAAAACTAACAGAGAGAACAAGTTTGTTGCAATGCGCTTTACGTTCTGGTTAATTACCTTAAATCTACCGTTTCAACCGGACTTAACGAAGCGTAGCATATCATTTTGTTTCCTCTGTCCAAGGAACCATTTCTGAGGACCACAAAGTGGTAAACGTACATTGTTTAATGATTCCGTCACAGAATAAGCGTAAAAGCAGATCAGGTGTGACTGCCAATAGGGGTTGGGCGGGTTGCTCACGAAAATTAATTGTTGTTGTTGTTGTTGATCACAATGACGGCCTCGATGCAATGAGAACTATTATTAATGTTGTACTACAGCTATTTTCATAAGGACGGGTGTATAGGATAATTCCATCTTCTTCAAGATTCTGATGGGCGGGCACATTCATTCTGGGTAAACGATCGGCGATGATCTTAATGCCGGCAGTCGTATCTAACCTGCCACTATCACAAGTGCTAGCGAATTGAGTAGTAGTCACAAAATGGCGGCATCAGATAATATTATCAGGTAGTATCAAATGAAATCTTGTAGTCCGGAGTATAATAATTAATAAAAAAAAAAATTCATTAGACGTTGATTGTTTAAGTGTAACGAGCGAGTTCAGTGCGCGATTGTTGAAAGAACGATGAACTGATACGTCATTGTAATAGCATCGCAGTGTTAACATAGAACCGGCAGTTCCAATTTCCTTTTGAGTCATACATGCCCAATACTAAGGTTGTTAGTCTTCACTGTGCCGAATGCGCAAATGGCCAACACCGTAGTAGTTGAAACAGCAGCCGCGAAAGATATTATGCTTTTCTTACATTGTGTGACTCCTAGCATGTCATGTGTTCTCTAAATAGCTCATTGAAGGGTGCGAAAGAAGGCCTCGGAACTGACGAACGCACCGTGTAAATGATTGAAATAAGGAATGGGGTGGGAGCTAGGTCTTGTGCTAAGTTCTGAAGAATATACAATAGATTGAAACAGATAGCGTTAATTGATAATAAAGATAGAGCCAATACTAATAGAACTTAAATAGAAATAGAGGTTAGGTGTTAATGCCTAGTGACAGTTGCATCTATATTGAATGAATAATTAATCACAAGTTTAAACGATAAGAGCTACTGTTACTACCACAACTATCATTTTCGTCCTACATTGAGTAGGACGAACTTCCGAACATGAGAGAATCAAGTGACAGTTAAAATAGAACGAATGGCGTCATAGTATTGAAAATTCATGTCACATTTTTCGTATAACATACTTGAAAGACAACTTTAATTGTCGGGCAGGAAAACATGCTGCCAATATTGTATAAATAGATTTCTCGATAATAATACTGTTATTGCTACTCAGGAACTGATAAATTATTTTTTCGAATCGGAGAATTTCTATGAATTCCTCAATGCTATGATTATTATAGTATGATTACGACAATATTAAGGGTTTATATGCGGCGGCATCGAAGTAGTCTTTCTAAGCCATAAGCAGGATTTTGCATTGAGTGAATCACTAACGATTGCGTCTATCCATGTGAAACGATATAATTGATAAAAAAATTTTCGCACAACATACTAATGGCATACCAATTTGTTAAATATCTAATTAGTATCTGACGTGCTTCTTGGCTGGTTCCTTGTGTTTAACAGCTCTCGAGGTTTTCAAACCGCTCAGCTATAAATGAAACAACATCGTATTCGCAGGATTTTAAAAGATAATATAACAACAGACAAATAGGTGGGGTGCAATCAATCTGTAGCAGAAATAAGTTATGATGTCAGCCAGTGATATATAACATCGATGAAAAATATGATCGATAACATTGGGCTGAAGATCGTCTGAATGGAACCAGTGGCAATGTATGTGAATTTAGTGGAGGTTGAAGAATAGGCACAATGCAATTTTATATGTATTTTATGAAAGGTTAGGAAATTGAGACTGAAATCAAGGAAGAAATATGGGAAGGAAATTAAAAAATAACAACATGACCCTTTGTTTTTTGTCAACATTATATATATACATTGTCGTGCAAACAATTCAGATACTTTGCTGGGCTGGTTTTTCGCAATAGATCACTTTCAGATACGTTAGCTGTTTTTCCATTTTTTTCTATCAACCGGGACGTTTAGAGATTATTTGTTCTTCTCTTGTTCTTATATATATATGTAATTCGCCTTATATATATTGTGAGTGGATTTGAGAGTTATAGAGATACGAACGGACGTAATTGGCGGACATTTTCATAGATAACAGTAACAGCAAGTAAAACTATCATAATTACAGAAGGAAGACCGAGGGCAAACAAGAAGAAAGAGGGATATTTTATTACCCCTAAAAGGGATGACGACCATGTTTATTATGAATAAACGTGCAACAAAAATTGAATTCTATAGAAGAAACAATATTGACTGATTTAATAAATTTTGCCGATGTTTTTATTTGAAGCACAATTTATTGCATGAATTATTAATCATTAAATAAACATTTTATCGTTTGTTAATGTAATTCACTCATTAATAATGTGATACACTCATTCACAATCATTGCTCTCGTATGGTTCGCGCTGAACGTGCAGATATTGAATATGCATCATGTTATTTTTCTAATCTAACCTAAAACAAATTCAGATCTATTGCACTAAGCCCGTTCGTCTGTCTGCATAATCCTTATTTTCCTACTCTGGCTTCCTCTATGTAGTTTCCTGCCTCATGCTTCAAAATATCCCCGATACTGTTTGCATTCTGTATTTCTGCGCTATTCCATTATCGTCTTAATAATTTAATTTTTATCTATTGAAAAAACAGTGTTGACAGTAGAATTAACGGTTTGTATTTTAAAGCAAAACTGCTCGATAACATCTTCTGCCTGGAGCCCACCATGGTTTACGCAGTATTTCAGTATAAGTCTTTTCTCACGGATTCGCCTTTGGGAATCACGTACGGGGACATGACGTTATCTTCATAAGTTTGTTTTCTGGGACAACATCGCACGAAATAAATTTAGTTTTAGCAAAATATGTATTCAGTATAGCAGAGGGTAAAGCCGTGCTTTATCTGACTAATTTCATCAGAGAAATAACCCTGAAATTCGAAAGATGGTAGTTTTATTAAATATCGATATCACATCGCACTTATAGGTCTATTCTTAAATTAATTCCTTTTGTGTGCCTTTTTATCCGCTACTAGTTTTTTTTTTAATCTATTATGTTAACATGTATAATTTATCACAGCGTTCTGCGTTGTATTCGTTATATTACTCCTTGTGTTGATTTATTGGTCGTATTGGATACTTTGGCGGCAAGAAAATTCATCATCGTTGATGAAATTGGTCAGCCAGATAACAGGCGGCTTTTTCCTTCTACTATTATTTTAATTAAAACAAAGTTTTTTTGTGCTGTCTTGCCCCGGGAAACAAACTTGTGAAGGTGGCATGTTGATTTTTTTTCAACGCAAGCCCCAATCCGTTAAGTCGTTGTAGAGTTACGAGAGCTGGATTTTTTAGCTATCGGAACGGTTACTTTTTAAAGATATGCAAATCATCAACATTTGATAGGCGAGCGTATCGTACTATCTTCTTTTAGGGTTAAGTCCTCTACGACACAAAAAATTATCGGTATCAAACAACAGTAGTTAAAACCAGCGAACGAGTTGTCAATTTGCTACGCACGTAGATATAATCGTTATCGATATAATAATCGATATAATAATGTTCAAATCGGTCATTTAATGGGCCATCGGATTAGTGGCTGCTCGCTCGGTGGCGAAGTGCTTCAGCTTGTAAATATCAAGGCATCTTTTTTCTCTGGAGCCGACGGAAGAGGGCGTCGTCCGACGCTAGCTTGCATCCCGCCGCCTATGCGAGCGAACCTGCATCTGGCGTACTGTTACTCTTATCGCTGCTGCTGTTTGTTCCTTGACCTATTAGTACCTGCTTAGCTACTTTACAAACGGCAGCGAAGACACGAAACAGATAGGCCCTTTGAGACAAGGAGTGTGAAGCTTCGGTTGGGTATGCAGGAGGCCTAGGGGTACGGTGAGCCATGCAGGGAAACATGTGGAGAAGGAGTAAGGGCCCAAAGGGGGGCCACTGGCGCGACCAGTGCGGGCGAAACATCTGCAGTTCCCAGCCAGCTATTGTAAAAAGAGCAGTCATCTATTTGCCCGCTAGCCAGCACGACACACACCCATTTACTACCAGCCTTTTTCTCTTTATTGCATTTTCTCACATTCGTCTGACGTGCACACACACACAAACACATTCATACATAGACACATACTTAAACAAGCTTCTTGCGTAGTGTATTCTCTCATGCGGTTTGTTCCGGCTCGGCTTGCCTCTTTAACGTTTGTCAATATGCTAACCATCCACATACGGGAACCCACCATGAAGACAAGGAAGGGGTACACCCCAAGAAGTATCGTGCGCCGCCGTTGGTAAGAAGGCCTCTGCCAAACAGCCAGCACACGCGTGATGGGTAGCAGGTAACAAGCGAGCAACATACATGTGCTTTCACACCATCTCTACTGCCGCAATACGTAGAGGCACCGAACAATCGGGTTTACCAAAAACCACATGGACATAACCATGTGGCAAGCGATTAGGCAAGCAAGGCAAATGAGTGAAGGGCGAAAAAATCGATAGCCCGTTCAAGTGGCCAACCAAGTGCTCAGACAGGGAAACCAAATTTTACAATTGACCAAAAACCAATTTTCGCAAGTTGTTCTGCACGGGTCCACTATGTATGGTGGATAAAGATATTGTCGCAAAAGTTGTATTACACAAAGAAGATGAGCTGTTCTGAGCCGATAAAAGACAGTAGTCTCTCAACTTATAGACTTTTCTAAGGTTATTCATGTGCACAGAAGCAACGTTAAGTGCCTATTGACAATCGGTGTTTTCAAACATAACCCGACAGCAAGCAACACATATACCGTTTGTTATGTGTTTGGGATTCTCGAAATGGTGATGAGTCATGTTTGTTTACCATTTTTGATCCCTAGTAACTGAAATGCTTGCGACTGCACCAAAGCGGGGCACTTGTTTGCCAAGAAGAATATCGCATTTGGTAGATTAAAGAGGAGATAGAGGTACGGAGATCTAAAGACATTACTTTGAAAGGAAAAGCATATGGAAAATGAGCTGTCAAAAGGATGACCCCGCAATAGTATATAAAAACATAATCCGGAGTACCGGATTGTCAAATAATCCACCCGCTTAAAACCAGTTGCGCTCTCTAAATAAATTGCGGTTAAAGCTCCTGTGCTTTAACAGACATCTGACACTTCAGTAAACGAGATTTTCCGCATGTAAAAATAATTTTACTTTAAAATAGAAATACGTATAATGCGCATTGTTCATAATTAAAAAAAACAGAGTCCAACAGAATGCAATAGGCTAAAGTATTCTCGCTACGAGCAGCTTTTTTCACTCTATTTTCGTTCATATCGATGTGATCATGAGAAAAGTTTTTCTAAAAAAATGAACCAAGCATATCTATGGACTTTTACTTTTTTGTGTTTAGCATTTAGAATCTTACGCTGAATCGCCACTAAAGAGCAAAACGAGTTACAGCTCTTTGAATTGTGTTCAAGCTATGCGCACCCTTTGCTTAAATCTCATTGGCATAAGCCCTTGTAAGTATAAATTTCTACACAATTCCAATCTGACCACGAGCCTATTTCAACCAACAGAGCCTGTCTAGACAAACTTGATTATCACAATTACTATTTGTAAACCGATATTCATATTGTTCAAAGGTAAATATAGTACGACATGCATTACGCCCATGAAACACGCTACGTACCGAAATAACTTTAACGATCTAGTTTTCGACAAAAGAGTGCGTTCACTCATTGATTGTCATAGGCCCAGTGCGCGAGATAAATTTTTTGCCGATCTTTGACAATTAAACTTAAATTAATTTAATTTCTAAACAAAGGAATTGTATCGAGTTTAATCTTGAAATAGTGGCTACTCAGATTGATTAATAAACGCGAGATTATTGTAGAAGACCCATTAATGGCAACATTAACTGACCGGAAAAAATAAAGAGACCGGAAAAAAATAAAAGTCAAATAAGGAAAGTAAAAAATAACTAAAAAATATAGTTGCCGACAAATTCTCAAAATGGCTCATTCTGAGGGTTGTTTTTTTGTGGTTGTTTCGTGTAAACTATTTAAAGTTAAAAAAGAAAAACGGCTGCGAGTCAGATCTTCGTGTTTCTGTAACACTCGACTTCTTGTATAAGAACCAACTTTTTCTGAAAAATGAATCAACTGAAAAGGCTTAAATGAAAAATCATACATGAAAATTCACTCGTCGATTAAAAAAGGTCATGGAGAAATCTTCGAATGTCAGTGTGGTCTAGATAAGTTTGAGCGCGTGATTTCCTGACCGTCTAATCAGAAACAACAAATTATTGCTTAAGTATCTCGAAAAATATTTCTAATTACTTAAATAGTTAACCAATTTAGTTGGATAAATTTTGAGACAAATATTATGCTTGGGTTGGTTCCATTAGGTAAGGCTACCCTTCGGTAACTAACTGGCCTCGTCACTGATGAGCTTCATCGAACGCGCATAATAGCGATTCATTTCACAAGAAATTTTTCGTTGTTTGTACCCATGCTCCATTGCAACGCGAGGCTGTTGGCTTAGGTAACTCTTGTATTAGGATCTACGTGTAAACGTGTAGGTGAAATTGTGTACGTTGTATGTCAAGGTCGTGTGCTTTACAATTCATCTGGAGGTAGGATCATTTGAGGCTAAGCTTCTGTGAAGGGGACACGCATGTTTTCCTTATCCTATTTGAAAATGGTTACACATTAAGGCAGCCTTAAAAGTGTTTGTGGCGTCATCAAAGCTGCGACCATTCGATTGGAAAGCGCAAAAGGTACAATTTCTTGTTATGAAAAAAGTTGGTATATCTACAAGGTGACTTTTTATGGTAATACGAAACTAAATTGGTGCAATCATTGTAAGCACATAAGCACGTAAGAGAAGGGACGCCGCGTGAACTATACGTGCTGTAGATAAAAATTGGGTGATCTGTGTCACAAGTCAAAAGTCATATTTCGAGGTTCAGAGTATACCGTATGGACTTGAAAACTGGATAAAACACAATCATTCGGTCAGATCTTTCCAGAGATTCCAGAGTCTGAATAAATTATATCATCAACACTATCTTGCTTAATTCAATATCTTATTGTCATTTCAGTCAAGTTTTTGAAATGCAGGATTAAATGATAATTAGCCTTTTTATCCGGCTAAATATGGTAGGAGAAACAATCTGGGTCCCGAGCCGTCGGGCCTGGGCTTCAAACCCATTAGGTTTATTCACTTAGTTACGTGACTATTTGGTCTCTGCTAGAAAGTTCTGTGACAACTACATCTCTTTGCTTCCGGTTTATAACGATCTTAAAAGCATAATCACCCAAACAATGTCTCGATATAGGAATCAATGCACTACGAGTGTTTCCCTTTGCTTTGCAAATATAAAATTAGTAATTTACTATTATTGTCATTATTATGGCGTAAATTAATATAGTTCTTGGTATGTTTATTATCTAATTGATTCTTCGTGGGCGTACGCAAAAATCGCGTTTTTTGCCCGGTGTTCTTTTTGACCTGTTAATGTGGTTTATCTATATACGCACCTATTTGAACGGCAGTTTCTTTTTTTACTTACTTTTTTTTACAGTTACTTTTTTTTTACTAGCCCAACTATTTATAATGCAATTCTCAATAATAATACTAATAATATTGCTGAAAATTCAAGACAGCAAGGAAAAACCTTAATAAAGTTCTATAACCTCATCGTTTCCAGCTGTATAACAAGAGGCCATTTTTCGTCGTAGGCCTCTACGATGTACATATTTACCCAACTATACGCTCTTCTACACAAAGATATATGGATTCTACGAATAAAACGACACTACTGTACATCTTTATTCGAGCTATTAATGCCTCTATTTGTTGTCGGTGAGTAATGAAAAGCTTGCTCTTTTTTCCAGTCACAACTTTTAGGTAATACAGGTAGCGAACCTTATTGTTTAGATTGTTTTTGAACACTTGTTTTGATATCAAAGCATGGTTATTTTACTTTTTTTTTTTAAATTTATTATCAAACTATTTTACCAGTAATTGCGATGTACTATAGGACGATTATGCCAAGCTTATGTTTAACAAATTTGTATCTGTTTGCTTCATTTTCGACAGACTATTATCCTAAGAGCTAAGGTTTTTAGGTGCTTCCATTAGCCATTTGAACATCGCTTTGAATTTCATACCCAAAGATGAGTCTATATTCCGTTAGACTGAATCCCCTAACTGTCAATTAGTGGCTACGAGCGTCATGTTGCTTTAATCTTACTTTGAGTCAACTTTGATATTATCTATTATAGTTAAATATATGGCACTAGACTACGCTAATATGTAGCGGTAGCTAGACGGCGTTTTAACTTTCAAACGGTCCCGTCTAAGATCAAAAAGTAAAAATTGTGGTTTTTAGGTATGCTCTCAAGTGGTCTTAACAAAGCCGCTCCGGAAACATCAGGACGGGGAATGTGGTATAACGCGACCATTTATCCACCCAAAGAGCCCTACACGGCAGAGCAAATCAAATTTCCGATGTCCGCTGGACGCCAAACATCTCGAATCCATATCATCTATGCACCTCGAACGAAATACACGACCCATATTGTTGAGTCTGTTTTCAATCTTGCCCGTAAGTGTCCCCTTTTTATAGGGCTCATATTACAGAGATCTGCATGCGCGATAGGTCGACGCGTGCCAAAATAACAGTACGCATACGTATACGTAAGAGTATATTTTTCTAATAATTACAAATTGTTCAGGAGGTAATGATACACGAAAAAATAGTGAAATTTTAGGCCTATGCTTTAACTTGGAACAGCAGTAACTCGGTATTTAAGCTTTTCGATTCTGTTTACTCCTTTACTGGCGACATGGTTTGCCTGATTCCAGGAAATGTTTCCATTACGGGTTTTGTCGGTAGCAAGGATCTTGAGGTGTATTTAGCAAAAATTAACGGCAGCGTTGATCTGTCCATTATCTTTCGGTCGGTGAGCCAACCCAGTCATTTGAGTTATACCCTACAGTATGGCTTCGGTAGTTTAATGCCATCTGGCAACGCGCTTGGCGACTTTGCTAGCCCTAGGACGCCTAGGTCCATCATGGAAGAAACCCTGCTGTTCCCAACAATGTACGCAGTTTTCAAGGTTGGTCATAATAGGAAAGAAATCAACGGCTTATTGTATTTAATGATAAGTTTTAGACTTGTTCGCGATTTCTTTACGCACGCGTCACAGCTTTGTGTTTTACTCGTGTCGGAAAACCGAGGCGATAAACCGCGATCAGAGAGAACAATGAAATTATCATTGTGCACGGTAGAACAGCTCTTCATTTCTTGATTTTTCTAACTGGCCATTTGCCATGAAGTAGATTTGTGAAACAGAATATAAAAGTTGCTCAATGCATAGTGATTAAGACCGGTAATTTCTCGAGGTGTCCGCTAACCGCACCTAATCTATGTCAGCAATTTGGTGTCGCCTTTATCTGCTTTGCGCTGCAATCCCTGTCGAAAAAGTTATTAGATACTGAACGAATTGCGTAAATAATAAGAAATAACAAGCTGAGAATGAGTAAATAACTTAAGGCAGATACAGCCCAGTTTTTCTATGCGAGTCTTTCAAAATTCATTTTGTCGGCAAATGGATACAAAACTCACTTCACACACCATTAGAGAGGAAAGATGTCGTTCAACAAATCGTGACTACGCAAATTTTTGGTTCAGCTGATAAAGTGAGGATGTCCACGGGTAACGCTTTTATTGCCATTTCACGCATCTAATTGATTATAAAATATGAAAATTAGTAGCGTTAAATCAAATAAACACTGTGATTGAATTAGCACAGGGTATTCCGCTGTGACCAAGAACCCTGCGGCAGAAGACTTCCGTAATTTTCATTGCCACTAGCCAAGATTGAACGAGTCCTAGTTGTGCTGTATTTAGTGAAGTTTTTTTTCTATACACTAAAATCCTTGCTGAAAGCAAAGATGTGGAATAGTATGTCACTTGAGGAGTGAAAATGATTTCGCTGCAAGTAAACACGCATTCAGACCATGAAGTTAATAATGGCGAAAAATCGTGACATTTACTCTAAAACGATAGAAGACATTTTTTGAAAATACAGATCTGGAGGATAACGTTAACGAAAGGTGTTACTCCGGGCCATCCAAGATTATAGCAGCCATCCGTCTTTTTTCTGGTATGTGAGCTCAATGTAAAACAAACCAATCCAAATTCTCCCATGCTATCGATAACGCCTGCCCGCAGAAAATTGATTCCTTAGGTTCCTTAGAGAGTGGCTTTTCCGCTACGTTGTAAGATTGCGTCATCTAGCAGACGACCCTATTTTTTAATGTTTGTGAAATCTGGTTTAAAGACACCGGGCCTCACGTATAGGCATCTGCTACAGTTGTATGGGACTTTTAGCTAGTATACTAATTGTAGTGCCCATTAAATCCCTCTACACCTGGTTGTCAATCGTTATTTGTTTTAATACTACTTCGGCTAGCTGAAGCTCAGGACTGTTGATAGTTGAATCTGCAGCAGACACATAAGTGGGTCGAAAAAGCGAATCGTTGGACAACGACCAACGCTTGTTTTGATGTTTCGCGACCCCTATGCGCTTGTGGCTGGTAGCAATTAGAGCTTGGACAATTTACATATAGGGTTCCACTCGTTATATCAATATGTTTTAAGTATCTGTATTATTATATACATTATAAAATTAGAAAGACTTTTAGTATTTAGCTTATTATTACTCTATTTATATTTAATTCACTTGAAATCGTGATATCGCAGAAACCCGTTTCTCCGATATATGGGCGCCTCCTCTACACGTAGTCTCTTCTTTGCGTGCGCATCCTCATTTTCACAGTTAGTTGTACTTTTTATACAGTCGCTTATCGTCGTCAGTGATACCTGCCCAGGGAAAGGATAGTCTATTTTTACACGAACTTCCGCGTTCAAAAATAAAACCATGCCTGGGAAATTTATCGAGCACGTGTTTTTGCCATTAAGTTTTACTATTCATCAAAATAGCAATTTTTGTTTATTAAACACTTTCTTTCAGCTCAACGAGCCGGCTAAGGAATCGTCGACTAATGGAAACTAGCTATTCGTACCAATAGAACTGAATTACCCACAGATAATTTGTATGTGGGTAATTAGTTAAAAAAAATGTTAAAGAAACATGAGGTACTTCGCATCTTCCAGGAATAGTAATTACCAACCTAGAAATCATGCAGCCTCCTTGATCTGTGTTCAACAATATATAAAGAAATAATAAGTCGATTGATGGCCGAGCATTTTGTAGAGGCGTGAAGCGTATGCAATTAATGCAGGCCCTTATTACAATTATTTTTAGCCATATGATATAATTAGTTTGTGAAGTTTATTTTGTGCAGTTATCTATACCTATGCTAATATTTAATGAATCAACACTTTTAGGAACATGCAAAATTTTACAAGCTAAAAATCAATGCGCGACTGGATCCTATACGGCCCTTTCCGACTGACCGCTACTATTTTCGGAAAGCAGGCATGAAGAAGGATCAATCTGCGGAGGACGCAACGTTTATTCGGATGAGCGACATGATCATTTTGTTTAGCTTCATTACATTCATATGCTCCTTTTCAAAAGGTATTGTCGCGGAAAAGGAGACTCGCCTTCGAGTAAGTTAGCTGTTCTTCCTATGCCGTTAACCGTGTGCATGCTAATGACCTGTGAACTTAACGTATCATTATTATAGGGCGAGCTTACTTGATTCAGGCTGGCTAACACAGCATCAAGGCCGGTTTGTGTGGTAAGTCATATGTTCGAATCTGGATATCCGCATCAAGTTCTTTTCGGGGAGCTTCATCACGAGAATGCACCTAGATACACAGCGAAGACGACGGTGATGGTTCGAGACATCAGATCAGTAAAGACTTAGGTTGGAAGCGGACAATAAATCCTATAAAAGGAGTGATGCTGAGAATAAGATTAACTGATCCAAAGGGACACAATCGAGGTTTCGTGGCTACGAGGCCAAACTGCTACCTCATGGCTTCCGTGATAGTACAACAGGCTCCAGAATCGCAAATTATAAGACGCTCTAAGCCGACCACTAAAACTTATTAGGTGGTTCAGTATGAGACGTGATAAACATATATTTTTTAAGATGATGCTCTGTGAATAAACCCTGTATTCAAAAAAGGTTCTACTACTAGAAACACGCTGTGTCGTATGTTTAAAAAATTCCGGGAAGGAGAGTTTGAGGTGGAAAAAGAGAGAGTGGAAAAAGAGGTTTCCTGCAAAGGTTAAGGACTCTTCGTGAACAGTTGAGGGTTGGAGTGGCTGCTTCTCCTTGCTCTCGCTTTACAATAGTGCTGAATTCTTGCACTGAATTATGACTTAATGTTGAAAAATTTGATTTTGGATGTCAAAATTTATTACGGATTTACGTCAAATAAATTGTTACAATTTACAACATAATAATCCACTTATCGTGGATGTAGAAAGTCGAAAATGACAATAGCGCTTACCTTGATTGAAGATGACAGAATACGTTTCTTCAAAACAGATGGGAATTCGTTAGAATTCCCATCGTCGTAAGTCGTAATGCTGAGATAGACTCGTTTATTTCTAATGCTTTTCTCGCTTCTTTTTATTATTGTAGGAAATCATGCGAATGATGGGCCTGCCAGACATTGTGTACTGGATTAACTGCATGCTTGTAGGCACCATACGAGGCGGGTTGATTGCGGTGATACTCATGATCTGTTTATGTGACTTCGGTGTCGCGCAAGTATTCGTGTACTCAGACGCGTCGGTGATTGTCCTGTTCTTCATTGTCTTCACCATGGCAATAGTTAATTTTAGTCTGCTGTTCACCGTTCCATTCTCTTCGCGTACGTTGAATGTCAAATGGGTCCAGACGGGCTAAAGAAGCTATAGCATCATTTTTCTTTTATTATTATATTTCATTATTATATAATATCATTCTTTTCGTTTATGGACATTGACAGAGATGCATGAATACTTTGCGTATCAATGTTTCCTACTTTTTAAACTTAACGCTGAACTTTCAAGGATTTTCTATACGGCTGCATAAGAAATAATAAGGTGGTTTAGTTTTAATATTACATAATTGACATCTAGTAACACAATAAATGCTAACGCACATAGGTGACATGAGTAAATACATAAATTTGCTTAACTTAACGAAGAATAATCTGCAAAAATAGTCCCTATATGATTTTAAATCGTAAAATATGGCGGACTGGCTTTTACGTGGAGGATAAAAACACAGTTGAATCAAAGAATGGGGAAAAATGGCTAATACAACATACAAAACAATGGCTTTGGATCATATGTTGAGGCATTTCCCAAATTGATTGACGATAACGGCATTTTCACATGTTCCCTGTTTTCTTTAATGTAAGCAAAAGCGAAACGTACGGAGTGTCATTTAGCTACTGAGAAATCGAATTCAACACATGTAAGTGCCGGCCCGAACATAGTAATAACCACATCGTGAAAATATTATAGCGTATGTTGAAAAGCCACATGATACACTAAGCAATAGCTGATACATTGACGATCACGACTACAATATCACCCGAAGTTTAGGGTTAACTGGTTTATTTGATAAGTCGAAATAGTATAATAAAGCGAAGATCGGTTAGACAACTTAAGTTAGGATTTGATTACTATCATAATAGAACAGTGCCCTAGCAAAGCGTTCTGGAACAGACACAAGTGCGGAAGTAAGTTCCAACAATTTTAGCTTAAGCGGAGCAAAGGTCCCGATTTAGTTCGCGTAGGAGTTGAAAAAGCCAATGTTTAAACTGTAAGCCCCCCTTGTGCCTGTTGTTGTCGTCGTAAAATTAGTAGCCATTCTAATATTCAGCAATTTTTCTTCCTTTGGTTCTAGCGAAGATTATGGTATTTGTGGTATTTATCGTGCAAGTGGGCACTGTAGCTATGATAGTCACGTATGTCGATGATCCTGCAGGAGGTCTTACGGGTTACATGTCATTGACTGTTCCGTTCAAGTTGGCCACCTCCCTCGTGCCTCAAATCGGTATTCATTGGCTTATGAAGCTTGCCTCGTTTTCCGAGCAAAAGGGTATGTATTTTTTTTGGTAATCGTCATCTCGCGCTGCAATTTTAATATGTGCGGTGACACTAAAAAACTACTAGATTATAATGATCGTTGTCTATTGTTGTTCCTTCTGAATGATCTATTACTGAAGGCTAAGTGCTATACGCTGTCTGAAAGTGCTTTTTGCTCTAGGTACATGGCCATGAAAGGAAGCTCTAAATAGGAAAACCAGCAGTAAACAAGATACAAGTTGACATTCTTGTGTGAAGAGTCAGAAACCCCTTATATGGTAGGAAGCTAACAAGAGACCACGAACTATGACTGATGTAAAGAACACGATTATTACTACAAAAGTTGGTACATAAGCTATAATATAACGATCAAATTCACGCATTCAGCCACGATGTCGTTTGTCTATTTCTCGCAAAGAACAAATGTCATTGCGTTTCACAAGCACACCCGTCCACCCTTAAAGTCGTTTCCAACAGAAATAAGATAGAGCTTAGCATCGATCAAAGGCTTTCAATTTCGCTGTAAAGTGGCTGTGCTTGAAACAAAGCTTGGGTCTGTCTCAGCGTTCGCTCGCAAACTGAGATGTTATCCACGGGGTGTCATTCAGATTCTAAATTTTGGCGGGTAGGTGAGAAAAAGCAATTATGAATTTCTATATTACAGTATGCGTTACGCTAAATTTGCAGGTGAAGGTCTACAATGGCACAATATAAATCAAGCTGTCATCCCAGGTGATAATATCGCGCCAATCGAGATTATATACGCAATGTTATTATCGTGGCTACTCTATCTTTTGCTCGCGATGTATCTGGATGCCATTAATCCTTGGCAATATGGAAACGCAAACCACCCGCTCTTTTTTCTGCTCCCTTCCTATTGGTGTCCCACCGTGGCGGATTTTTCACATAAAGCTTCTGTGCGAAATTCCAACAAAGGTTAGCAGACCGTAATTTATGACAATTATACGACGATCAGAGATTCTTTTCAACGCGTTTCAGTTTGAATTAGCTATTAATACAAGCTCGGCTTCATCAATGTATTTGGAATGGTTTGCGCTGCGTCATGCAGGCGTTACGCCCTTAGCAGACGATAAAAGGCTTCGGTTTGGTACGGAACAAGATTCAGTAATCTGACTAGGGGTTTCGATCGGTTCTTGGATGAGATAATTATATTTAAAGGGTGTCTATACCTGAGATTATATTCTGAGAGAGGAATATCTTATAATCACATATAATGTAGACTAACACAACCTATCAGTGTATTGAACTCGTCACAATTTACTTGGTTTTCAGAAATGATAGAAAACATATCAAAGAAATTGCGGGTTGTTGTTCGTCTGGTTCAAATCTCGCATAGATTTGGGCCAATTCGAGCTCTTAGCAATTTGTCAGTCGATCTCTACTGTAATCAAATCACCATGTTACTTGGTCACAACGGAGCCGGCAAAACGACGCTGATGAGCATCCTGACGGGACTTATACAGCCAGACCATGGGGAAGTCTTCATAAACGGTTACAGCGTAAGAAAGCATACGCGGAAGGCTAGAGAGAGCCTTGGATTCTGCCCTCAACACAATGTGCTCTTTGATAAGCTCACAGTTATGGAACATTTGGTGTTCTTTGGTAAGCTCAAAGATGCCGAAGAGAATTACCTGAGGCAGGAAATAAAGCATCTACTATCGGAACTTGACTTAACGCAGAAGTCGAATTCGTTTTCTAAGGACCTTTCTGGCGGCATGAAAAGAAAATTATGCCTCGCCAACGCCATGGTCGGAGGCAGTGAGGTAAACACCCGATTTCTTTGTGCGAGATCGAAGTATTTTTAAATTAGTTGCATGATCCAGCTACGACAAATATAAGATATTAGGCAGCTGCTAGAGAGAGGCGGCAATTCTAGCTGTCTGGGGGCATTAAGAGACAAGAGGCCAGTGGCCTGCATGATATCAGATGCATGGGTCTTTGTAGTGCATGTAGCGCTAGTAAATCTTAAGATTTACATGACTAACCAGATTTGTGATGGTATTGCGGTGTTTGCTTAATAAACTGAGACATTTGAAGCGATCTAGGTTCAAAGCCGGGCGTAAAAGTACCTCTTTTCGGAGGAATGAAGGCAGCTTTGAAGCGATGCCAGCAGTACCGAGTACTTTGATAGCGAATTGCCGTGATGGTGTATTTCTCTATTCATTTTAAGAACACATGAAGTAGTTTAGGTTTGAAATCTTGATAATTAAGCATCTGACACAAGGCGTGAAGGAAGTGTTTAATTGTGTTCGCTACATCACGAGGCTTCTTGATGAAACGCTGAATCTAACTTCTTTATTTTTGTGCCCATTTTTAACCTGGAGATATGCTTCTGTTTCCAGTAGGATTGTCATTTCACTTCTACAACGTATAGCGGCGTTCTACACACCAGGCAATTATTTGAATAAAGTAGAGTGAATTCACGGACTCGGTACTAAGCAATATATAGCCGAGTTCTATGGGGTTAAAATCAGAGATTTTCGGGTATTGAAAAAGTAAAATAAACAGTAGGTTATTTCCAGCTAAATCAAGGCGGATGTTGATTATAAGAAGAACTTGCCTGCTTCTCTGTTATAGCGTTCGCTATCATTGTCTTAATAGTTATTCGAAAAATGTAACAAACGAAGACCTCTTCAGGAAGTCACTTGACCCTTTCCTGGGGTTCGATCGTATAGAACACGTCGTCCATAGAAAATAGCACCGTGAAAGCGGTGCTGCCCAGAAGTGCCCTAGCCAGCGGAATCTGCAGGTACATCTGAATTCTGATCCGCTAGGTCGGGACCTAAGTCGTACTTCTGAGCCAGTTCAGATTTCCCTTAGCGAATCCAGACGACCGTCCAGTCAGGTGTATAAGAATCTTCATATGAGGATCGATTATACGAAAGCCTTGATTGCCTTCTATCATTTGTGGATGATCCTTCGAAAAGTATTCGTTGTAGGTAGCAACCTAGTCGATGCTGTCGCATTCTCCTCACACAGAGCAGCAGATTGATTTGTCTAACAGAAACTATGGAATCACGATCAGTCCAGTTCAGCCTAGACTCGTTGTAGAATCCAATAAATTCAAAGTTGTAGTTATTTGTTTCTGTTAAGGTTGCAGACCTACATTCTTATGCGCCTTGCACTCGTTGTTCCAAAAGCCTGTTGCCAATGCTGCGCCGTCTCCGGTTTTGAGAAGCAGTTTGCTTTGTATCTATCAACTCGCTCTGACTGTTGTTTTCGTTTATTTTTCTTGTTAAATAAGTTGTTCGTTAAACATTTGTAATTAAAAATAAAAATTGTTGCTAATGTATATTCGAGATTTGTTACTGTTCAACTGGGCGCGCTAAACCACCAGTGTAGCGGCCTTATGAAAAGCTCCGTCCTTTTATAATAAAAATATAATTAAAAAATAGTTTTATAAACTTTGAGTTACCTTTATTCAGTTGTGCTGATTATTGAGAAGAATGTAATACGGAAAGTATCGATGTGAATGCGTATGCGCTATGTGGAGGGGTACTATGTAGCTTGAATCTTTGTTGACTTTAAAAAAAAATCCATTAAAAAAAGTATCCTGAGTCATGAACTCCAGCAACAGTTCAATAAGACATATTTCCGAGTCGTCAGTATCTTCATATGGTCTCTTGTAGATGCCAATTATATCACAGTTTCGCTATCAAGCGCTGGGTAATCTTGAAAATCTATCCATAACCCGTATTTCGTGTAGTAACAAACCTGTTGCTGACCGCTCACTTATGTCAATGCATTTATTTTTGTAAATTTGGCGGAATGCCGTTGGTCGGGTTTTCCTTCGCACAGATAGTGATCCTCGACGAGCCTACGGCTGGAATGGATCCCGAAGCTCGACGCGCTGTATGGGGACTTTTGCAGGATGAACGACGCTATAGGACGATCCTGATGACAACTCATTACATGGAAGAGGCGGACGTTCTGGGCGATCGAATTGTGTTTGTGGCGAAAGGACGCCTTCTGGCTGCCGGATCTCCGATGTTCCTGAAGAAGAAGTTCGGTTCGTTTCAACATGTTTACGACCATGTCCTATAGGCCAGCATTAAATCAACAACCACTATAGATTTTGATTTTCCGAAATAATTTTAGGTCTAAGAACGGCATACTGGTATAGCAAGTAAGTCCACTGAAGTACCGTAAACAGATGTAGACAATAGTTTTCGCCATTCTATGGTCAAGGAATGCCTGGCAGCCGAAACTCCTCGATTTGGATGACTGTTTTTTCGTGGATAACCAAATCAGTATATTCTCCATTTTCAATTTTGAAACATTGAAGCTCTTATGAAGGCCTTACATTAATACCGTATATAAAAAGATTGACCAGATATATAATGTTATTTATAGTTGTGTCAAAAGGGGAAACCATGCCATATGAATTGCAGACTAAAAAACATTCAAAAAACATTAAAAGTGCTGATTCGTGTTAGCAGACGATATAGGGCTCTGTGAAACGTTTTAATATACGGAAAAATCTACACCGTAGTTTAGCTAGTGCTTACCTATCAAATCAGTCATTGCAGGAGATCGTGCTTTTGTCCAAAAATGTGCATATACATACGAATTATACAACAACGATGGAGGCGGTACTTGGTACTTTGCTTCCTGGCAAACCAGTGCTTAAGCATTTCGAAACCATTGCCTAATCATTACCTCATTAATGAAACGATGGAAACAGTAGATGGAGCCAAATTTTATTCGAGGCCAAAGCGATCTGTATCTAACTCGATTGTAGGATTACGTGAAATAATTACATTCGTAATCTTGTAAAACCGTCTGAACGTTCCGACATACGCGAGCAATCTACGTACAAGTTTGTAGTATAACACCACCAATACTGTGGTGTTGTATATATATATATATATATACTGGCACACTTATCTGAATGTTCATCTTCTCAACCTGCATAGGATCGATTATAGCGAGTTTAAGCCTAATTTTATGCGCGTACAATTCTCCGCCCTAAAGGCCGATCTTGTTGTGGCTTGCTAGCGTATCGCATGTGCAGACGTCATGTTTGTTATGTGTCGAAAGCCGTCTGCTGATCATCGATCTAATTCAGTTCATCCATTTTAAAAATAGCTCCAAGATCCAAACTTGACGCGACCGAATTGTTTACTTGCGATAGTCCTTATTCTTATATTACTGGAGATATCAGCCGAATACGAAAAACTAGCAATGTATATATATATGGAAAATGAAAGGACTGTCAATACCAGCCTTTCTGTTGAGAAAATTAAAATCAGTACTAAAATCTATCATTATCATCATAGTCCTTTAGTGATATGCTCTCAGCAATATAAAAACAGTTTAAATTTTGTATTTATGTAAAAATGGCCCTGGAAAAATAATTCTTTTGTAACGTATATATTTCTTATTACAATAGAAACCGGCTATAACCTTCGGCTAAGCAAGAAAAGCTTGGACGTTAACACGGCCCGCGTCGTTGCCGTAATAAAAAGATGTCTGCCTGGCAACGATATCGTTAATCTAGATTCGGACATTGGTTACGAGTTTGTCGTCAATATTGGCTTCCCTTCACCACAACAGCTCGTCGAACTGTTCAGATATCTTGAGGACAACTTGAGTACTCTCGGAGTATGGACAGCGTATCCTTTGCGGACGATATTCGTTTTTACTACATTATCTACCAAAATTAAGATTTCTATGCAAACACCATGTTTTTCCTAATAATAGGTTAACTGTTATTAAGTGGAAAACGGCTGTTTTTTTTTTTATTTTGGTGTATTCTTGAGTCTAGTTGGAAGTTTCTCCATGTTGCGTTTACATTTTCAGATCCACAGTATTGGCATATCAATAACGACAATGGAAGATGTATTTCACAAGGTGGGCGAATACGGTGAAGCCAAATCTAAGGACGGTATCTTCTCACGAGATAGTGAAAAATTCGATTTTACATGTGAGAATAATATTACTGCTTATTGGGAGTATTTTTGTGAAGTATTATTAATTACTATTAAGCATGTTTAATTGTATTGGATACCATCTCACAAATAGCACAGAATATACTTAATGATTATGAAGTTCAAGATATCGACGGAATTGTCCGACGCGTAATATTATTCAATAAACCGACGCCAGTACCAAGTGTCCTATGCCGTTGTAATCAAAGTGAGCTGACTCTTGCATCGGGTGCACATTAGTTAATAGTTAGCCTTTTTTTCTCTTAGTCTCCATCAGTCTCGAGTGGCTCTAGTAGCTCTTCTCGTTTGATATTTAAGCGGTACGGGCTCGTAAATGGTTATAGATCGCTTGTAGCAAATAGACTTACCTTGAAAGGTCCACATTGTTGTTGATCATTACATTATTTTTACATGATTGCCATCGTCATTCTGTTGAGCGGAATCATCTGTCGAAAGCACGTCTTTGAAATGTATCGTCCGGAGATGCTGATGTTATAGGATGTTCGGATATTCCCAGGACCCAATTAGCCGCATCTTCTGTGCATTTCAAACATCTTTCCGGTAATTGTTAGCACCCTTGTCACTGTTTCCTTTTATTTTGCTGGATGATAGAAACACGCCATGACATCCTAAATATTTCGAACCTGTTACATGCTCATATCGCCTAGGAATGCAGTTAATACTTAAGTCCTTTCTCCTCATGTATTTTGCTGTTCCGAGAGGCAATTATACATTTCATAGATCGTGCTTCCTAGACATTTATCAAACTTCTGTTCTACTAGTTTTTGAATCTGTAGCCTTTTTCCTCCGTTGAGAAGGTCACTTTGCCACTTTGCCGTTTTGGAAGTCCAAGGCCCACATGTGTTGTGATATTGAAAATGTTCTCGATGTCCTGGTAAGTGTGAATGATCGAAACCAGGTCGTCTGCTAGTAATAATCATTAGATCTTTTCATGTTCAGAGATTACGAAGCTGGGCGCTAAATGCCGTCCTTTCTTACCTTTCTGATTCCTCTATATACAGCGCAACAGCTAATCTTATGTCAGTCACTTTGTGGAGTGCTAGTACTGAGTCGTTCGCGTTCAACCTGCATGCAAAGGCTTGTTATATTCGCCCTAACGTACGTATAGATAGCATCAAGGCCCATTTGGTTCTGTTTCTCGACTCCTGCGAACAGTATCATCAACATCACTATAAATTTATGGCACTTTTTCCTCTGTTTTGTGTAAGTCCGTTTTACATAGATCTACACGATAGCTATCACCAGTATTACTTGTGATAGCTGTAGTCTGCACACTGTCAAAAAAAGAAGAAGCAATTTTTTAAACGCGTGTTGAGTCAGAGAGCTCTTTTTAGCAGAGCATTGGCAGTAAAGTATATAACCTGTCTCTCGAGCCCCCGTGTGGTGCAGTGGCAACGTATTTGCGTACCAAATTTAAGAATACGTGGGGTAATCTAGGCTCGAAATCTGGGTAGGTGCATTTCGTTTTCTACAAGGGAGGACCTAGCCACCTAAAACGACGGTTGACAACAGTATGGAACGTAAGGCTTCTCGCTAATCAACCGACCCGCCATTTGCATTGTATTGCAATTTTCAAAAAAAAGAATTGGAACGGCGCCCCAACATTGGAGTGAATGACGGTATACAAAAATAAAATGGTAAATTTGACAGTACACAGGGATGCCTTTGAAGACATGAACTCCGGTTATACCTAGCTTGACGTCCTGCAAAACAGCTTTTCGTGCAAGATCGGTTTCAATTTTGCCGTGAAACATATTTAGTAACATTTATAAACTGCTTTTTACCTTAAGTCTCATCCGTAAACAGTTCATTAAAATTTACAGCAAAACGTGAGCTGACACTGATTTGTTTTTTATGACGAGCAACCTTGTTACTTATTGTGTAATAATTGCGCAACAATTAACTCTAAATTTGCCATTTTCGTTATGGTTCTAGTTACAGAGGAATTCAAACGCCCATTTTTCATTCCCGAAGGTCATCACCTGAGTAGACTTCGATTAAAAGCACTCCTAAAGAAAAGGTAAAGAAGACAGATTATTCAAACTTAGATGAAAATTTAATGTAAGTTGTAGGTATGGCGATACAAGCCATGATTTTTATAAACAGACATCTCAGAATCACATACGGGTGATCGAGCACGCTCAGCTGGGTATTCAAGCAAGCAGCACCCTACGGTTGTATGTCTAGTGCCCTACCCACTTGACTATAAACGTTGTGTATTTGGGTTTATTTATGCTTTTCATTTGAAATAGGTGGCTTGTCGGTCGTCGAGAATGGAGAACCCTATTCTACCTTGGAATTGTGCCAGCTCTCGCCACTATGTTTTATTGTAGTTCAACTGGGACAAATCTTACAGATAATCTGCAAAAAGTGCGTAAACGTTGCTTTCTTTATTCCTAGTAAGCTGGCGGGGCATTGATGATAAAACATTGGTAGGCCGAATCGCCGAAATTTGGATTTGCCCACCTCTAGTTGTCAATCAAAAAACCTCAGCACAATCAGCGATTAACAGTGCTATTACAGCTATTGTGAGCACGTTTTTAACTACAAGCTAATAGCCTTTTTTCGTATTGATAAATTTGGCCCTGTGGGCGGCGCAAATTGTACGATATTGGAATAAAAGTACATTCTGGCATATTTGGCAGACAAAACTCATTTCGGGCACGCATTACTTGGCCCCCTTGAGCCCCGAGTTGTTTGCATTCACGGGTCCAACTGCAGGTACAAGGTTCGTTCGTTATCGCGAGTCGATGCCAAACGTCTAGTTTTTTCATGTTTATTAGCTCGATTGTTGTTCGAGACGCGATGGCAATTGCTCTCGGTCTCGTATGAGGGAATGCGGCAGCTCGCTTGCTTGGACTCTGTCTTGCAACAGACCTGAATTTTTTGAACGATTCTTGCGTGACTTTCATTTGGCCATTGATAACTATTGCATCTGTTGTACCATAACAGCTTAGCGGCAAAGAATGCCCGGCTGCATAGTTGACGTTCCGAAGAAATCGTAGTGGATTCACCCTGTATTGGCTTGTACGCATTCGTTCACTGTTTAATATGGTATAAGGCTATGCGCGAACACGTCGAACGCGAAGTTCTAATTGCACCTATAAAATTAAGGAAAAGCTGGACAAAAATTTGACCTGGGCGCCGTTGTCGATCTGTCGTTTATTTATCCGTCGTAGTCGGATCTAACTATAAAAATATCAGCACAGTTAGGTCGATAGAGTCAGAAAGCTATCGGGTTCCTTTTGACAAATTTACACTATTTTACATCTATCCACCTGATACGTTTTCGAAAAATTAAATGTTTCCTTATTATTGGATATATACAACGACATGGAGTAGCTATTTTCAATCACATTTAAGGCGTAGTTACCCTTACTTACGAGTACTTGCCTGATTACGATGTATCTGGAGCATTTTTAATATACGAACATTTTGACGCAGGGGTCAAGCATTATAGAGCTCGCTTTGACTTTGGTTTGACCATAATGCTGAATTACTTTGATCGTTAGTTTCAACCGTACAGTCATCATAGTTAGTGTGCGCCTAATATAAACCTGTTGACAGCCTATGAATGGCACGTATGCCGGACGTAACTACGTAATTATTCACTGGGTATTTCGGAGGCCCGTATATACTTTGTCACTGTTGGCGATCTGTAAGGTCACTTAGTTTACCATGGCAATATAGAGTCCATTCGGTTCACTTACGATATTTGATCTGACTTTCAGCCGATTACGTACTCGTTGTCTCAAATTGCCCGCAATCCTATCGCTTTTGTGACCAAAAAACAGGACGGAGTCGTCAGAAACTTTGTTAAGGCCCTTAAGTCTGAGCAGGTAGAAATAAAGACGTTGAATCCAGGCCAAGATATTGGTAAATACCTGCTGGGTATAGGTGAGAATTTCCATTACTTTTGCGAACCGGTGATAGATAATAATTGAGTTTACAATTGATTAAAATACGTATACTGGATCGAGCACTACATCGCTCGATCATCTTATCTGTACATTTAGGTGGATGATGTTCGAAGACTTACATGTTTTCTAGGAGGTGCTTAACAACGACAATTTCATAAACGGCATATTTTATACTCATGAAGTAGATAATATTTTGAGTCCTGATAATATTTTGATGAGTGATGATAATATTTTGAGACATGATAGTCTGGATGCCGCTACTCCTTAATTAACACGTGTACAAAATATTTTTCAGCTAGTTCTGAACCCGCAAACTATAAGTCTCGCTGGGTTGCTGGCGGAGAATATGATGGACGGAATCGCGTTTTGTGGTACAACGGCGAACCGTATCACGTCGGCGGCGCTGCTTTAGCTACGTGGCAAGGCGCAATGCTTGCGGAGGCTACTCGAGATCCGACCGCAATTGTAAACGTCACGGGCCTGCCACCTGCGAGTGCGAGGGTCCAAAATTTATTACATTCTGTAGTGGTTCAATTTCAAAGTATGCATTCATTACGTCTTGCGATAGCATTTTTCAACATATGAAATATTTAGTACAAAGTATCTGTTGGCATCTGCTGAGACAATTTCAGTAATCTAGTGACATGGGTATAGACAATGAAGTTCCAGTCTATATAGTCCGTTTTGTAGCTACCTTGGCAGTAATTTATCAAATATAATTACTTAAATGTGATTATTAATTTGTTATGGTTATAATCATTACACGATATACGGCTGACTAAGTTACTGCTTTAGTTAAATTACTATATGGCTTCCCTTCTTATATGTAAATCGTAATTGTTTCTAATATCAGTCTGTATATATATATATATATATATATATATATATATATATATATATATTGCCTTAGTGTTTTCACCTTTAAACGTTACCTTTTTGTGGCTTTTATCTTGCCAGTTTCTGCGTAAAAATACACATGTCTATTTAGAGAAACAAAAGTAGAGAAAAATTGCGCAAAAACTTTGATACGAGATCAATTAAGCTTGTCCTTTTTCCATAAGGTTAATATCTTGACCGAATCGCTGTCGCAACGCCACCTGTGGCAGCGACAGCAGAACATAACAGTATA